GATAAGCAATAATAGAAAGAACGAAAGCAGAACGTCAATTGATGTCAGATTTTGAAGGTTTCAGTTGTTAACACTAGGTTTACGGACGTTTCTTATGTACCTATCTCTACGGACACACGTCAATTTGATTTTGACGTATGAAAAAATTGTGATTATAAATTTAATAAATTCAATTTGGTAGATTTTTATCCACCACTATTTCTAAATAATTCGTAGGCGTATATAATTCACCTCTTCACATAATAAAATTTACTTTGTTGTTATTTACCATTTTTTTTAATCATTTTCGCGTGTCCGGAGCAGTTGGCATCTCTGCACTTAGAAACCAATGTATATGTATACTATTAGAAAAAAAAATGAAGATATGAGATATATATTTATGAAATATTCTAGTATTTTATGTTTCAATACTCGAACTAAGCAACTGAAGCCTTCAAAATCTGACACTCTGACATGAATTGACATTCAGCGTTTGTTCTTTCTATTATTGCTTATCGGCAACAGTTGTTTATCACTTGTTTTATTTGACATAACGAATCGAAGTATTGCCGGTACATTCCTATTTATTATTGATGTGATAATTGCTTGTTTACTTAAACTTTTGTCTAAATTATGATCGCGTCAAATTGACGCATATCCGTAGAAATAGGTATACCACATAGAGAATTTCAATATTTCAACGCTTTTGAGGTAAAAAGCATTTAATATATATTTACTTCGATCAATGGTTAAAAGTCATTACAAGAGATAAAGTAAAAATTCAAACGGGTTTTATAATTTTCCTTACAAAAGTCGAAATCCGTCAAAATGACGCGTCCCGTAGACCTAGTGTTAATAAAATTATTGAATACTTGAAAGCTTTCCATAAATATATATCTCATATTTTCATTTTTTTTCGTATAGTATATAATTACATTACTTTCTAAGTGCTGTCATACGTATTTGTTTTTGCGTCAAATAGACGCGTGTTCGTAGAAATAGGTATATAAGAAACATCCATAAACCAAGTGTTAAATTGTTTGAAAAGAAAATAAATTTACTCCTTCCGAAAACAAGACAAGGCTGAAATGGTTTTACAACCAGATTCCTCCGCTTTTCCGTCTTGCTTTCACCCATATAAATATCATGACTAATAGTTCAATTTCAAAATGTTAAATATCAATTTTCTACCCTCTCTATTTGTAACTTCTGTTCCTATTAAAGTAAATTTTCAAAATAATTAAAGAATTTTATATAGACAATTTGCGTATTTTTAGTTAAATTAAAATTTATTAGAAATTTATTATTTTTTTCCCCTATGCCCTTTTTTATATTTTCATAATTCTTGAGAAAAAAATACTGTCCTTCAGTTCACTTGTCCCAACAGTACCTTATTATATCGAAATATGTAAATAATATCTAATATGCGTGGAACAATATCATTATTTTGACCGTATATTGAATACATATGGAATGAATAGTTCATATGACTTCTTATCATTGATGCCAACTTGATCCGGATTGCGGCTAAATATTTTCTAGTGATAGCAAAATTTATGTTTTAATGTACGATTCTTGGTTTAGTTAATAAAAATACTGACAGCTTTGGATTTTAAATTCCTACCTGTCAATACAATATTTTGCAAAAAGCGTAGTAGTTGGCAGACATGGTCTGCTAACCCATCACCTCCTATATGAGAAAGCCTCCACACGGTTTTTGATAAGTAGTCTGCGCAGACTGCTTAAAAAGAGAACCAGTTGTGCGCATGAGCTCAAATTCTTAATTAAAAGTAATTGGGAAAAGTTTATCATATGTATTTGAGAATTGGATTTATAGTGGTTGACAAGTAAATAAGACAAACCATTTATATTCGTAAATTAAAAAAAAATTTAGATATATATTTGCTACCACTTTCCAATTTTTAATACATTTTGTATAAAATGGGTCATTCGTAAATTGCTTAACCTTCAAAATGGTCAGATCGGACACCTATAAAAAACCTTTGGGAGGCTTTTAGTTATAGGAGGTGGTGGTTAACCCCATCGTTTTCACGTCATTGCATCATAAATTCAAGATGGATGGAATAAAAGCCACTTGCCCAGTTTTACGATCACCTTAACCTATTTCGTGTTGAGCCTTTTGAAAAGTTATTCGAAATCAAACGAAAATCTGTAAATTTAGTTATGAATTTTTTTAAAAATATATTTTATCGAATTTCGGAGCAGTTGGGCATCTATTTATTTTTGTTATCATCACTATGGTCCCAACGCCTTCTACAATTGAAAGCCTCCACACGGTTTTTTATAGGTAGTCCGATCAGACCATTATGAAAGCAAAGCAGTTAACGAAAAAGCCCTTTAATAGAAAATCCAGCAAAAATAAGAAAGTGGTAACAAATATATGTCTAAAAATTTTTTTCATTTATGAAAATTATTGGTTTGTCTTGCTTACTTGCCTACCACTACAGATTCAATTCTCAAATATATATGACAAGCTTCTCTCTGTCGCAAATAAAATAATTCCGCCAATTACCGCCTCATACCTGCTAACTTTCACTCTTTCCGATATTGGATTTTCAGAGTGGTTGAAAACAATAAACGAAAAACAATCAGACCCAAAAACATATTTACATTTTGATCCCGTTGAAATTCGCTCGAGGCACGGATAATTATGCTTTGATATATTTATTGTAATTATTTACATGTAGTGGTGGTCAAACTCATTTATAATTATCATTATAATTCCAAAAGTTAATTGGAATAACATGAGTATTGCTACCACTTTAAATATGAAAATAAAATCTTCCGGAAGAGTTGGCAGGTATGCCGCCTTTTTATGCTCAGACTGCATACTATCAAAATACTATTAACTTTATCATACAACTCTACTGAAGGGGATCTCCCCATTCCAAAGATGATTTTCACTTCAAAACTAAAGATTTACTTCTTTAAGGACTTGATTTGTCGTTACAACATACTACAACTTCAAAGATATTTTGGACCTCCTTAGAATACGACAAAACAGAATCGATGAATCGGTAAGTGGCGCTTCGCGCCAAACGCCGAGATAACCCCAATATCCAGCATCGCAATTAAAATAGTATTTGGGTTCATGCGCACAATCGGTTCACTTTTGAAATAGTCAGCGCAGACTACTTATAAAAACAGTGTGGAGGCTTTTTGATGTAGGAGGTGATGACTGCCCCCCTTTCTAAAGCTTATTTTATTTTTAAATCAGGGTTCAAGCGGGCCTTGTAAATATTAAAAAGTGGCAACGAAAATTAAATTATTGACGATAATTTAATTACTGTGCAACCACCAATAAAAATTGTTTTCTAAAGAAAGGATAAATGCATGAAAATTCCAGTTTCTAAACAACCCCCTGACAACATAGTGGTTTATAAAACAAGAAATATCTTCTAGCATTAACCTAAATTTACTACCATTACTACCGCGTGAACCCTGTGAGTTATTTATTATCACCAATTTTATAAAAACTTTTTTTTTCTTTCGTAAATCAGAATCTATATTGATGTTATTAAGCCTAACTAGATTTAGGTAAAATACTATTTTTCAAAATTTCGTCAGTTCTATCCATGAGATTATACAATCCCTTTTTAAATATGTTCAAATATTTTTTCCTTAACTTAAGTATTATAAAAATTTCTTCACCATATATACTTAAAGTATGTTACCTAAGTATTTTTCATGTCAATCACTGCTGTGTAGGCTCGTTTTATTAATGATACGAATTTTTAAAAAAAAGCACTTCATAAATCACCTTAATGTCCTTGAATATCATATTTTCTGAAGAATCATCCATGACATTTTCTTCAAACGTTTTCCGCAATTAAGTTATCCTCTATATTTATGATTCAAAATAACGCAAAGTGAGTCAGTTTAAGATAACTTACTCGCATTATCTGCTTTTCTGGTTAAGTAAATATTTTGAATTCCACTATTTGAAACAAGAGACAAGTCTGAGACAAAATTTAGGAGGTAAACTTTCGGAGTACAAGATAAGACTAATTTACAACCCTATTCTGTTCGAGATCGCTTCGACCTGATCAATATTTGTCTTGTATAACAAAATTAATATCAAGAACGGAATTTGCACAGTACGATTTATTATCGTCTACCGAATTTCCTTATTTGAAAATTTCTTCTTCTTCTTCCTTATCATGGCTTTGCAGATACGATTAAAAATATTCGCTTTGTTTAAAATGACAACTTTCATTAATATTAGTAAATGAATTTAAATATTAATTAGCTGCAATGATAAATTCTATTATTATCATTTTGTCTGATTACATGCTTCATTTTTCAATTTGCTTTGATCCTTAAGTGAAAAGTAAATTGATTCTATTATTAAAGATATGTTATTTTTGGAAAATGCGTTGTAGTAAGAAATAAACAGTAGACTTTAATGTTTGAACTAGGTGCTTAACATCATGTTCGCTGCCACTTAACAACCCCTATGATTACTTGCATTAAACATATTTTTCTACGGGAATTATTTACTGAAAATATATATATCATAAAGTATTTCTAACGCGCCCCCACATCCCACGCACAACATTCGTTTCTTTAACTCGTTTTGTCCCAAATTTAAAAATCGAAATGACACAAAAAGTGGTTTTTATGGAAAAAGTGGTATAATATATTATCGAAATTAATTGGTTTTTCTACTGTTAGGGCATTCAAAAAACCTTTGATAGATCAAAAAGTACTTGCTCCTTATAATTCTTGATCTAATCAGAAATAACTAAATCATTGTAGTATCTCAGAATCTTTTAATTCACTCAGATAAATGGAAATACTGAAAAAAGATTCCCACCACAATGAATGTCTTGGAAAATAGGAACTGTCCTAAATATATGACGCTTGGCGTTAACCGGTTAACCCTTTTACCATTAGAATTTTACTGTTTGAACGAATATAAATATATACGCATAATTTGAATAAATGTGATAAATAATTGTTAACATATAAAAAATTTAATTTTAGAAGGGTAACTATAGATGGCGCCTCCACACGGTTTTTCGTGGATAGTCCGATCAGACCACTATAAAGGTAAACCTATTAATGAAAGAACCGTTTTATATGAAATCTTTTAAAATTTAGAAAGTGGTAGCAAATATATGTCTAAATTTTTTTTAAATTTATGGATATAATTGGTTTGTTTTATTTACTTGTCAACCACTACAAATTTAATTCTCAAGTATATATGATAAATTTCTCTCGAGTACTTTTAAAATAGAATTTGGGTTCATGCGCACAAGTGGGTCGCTTTTTAAATAATCTGCGCAGACAACTTATAAGAAACCGTGTCAATTTAAGTTAGTTTTCCAAAGGAGAAATCAATTGTTCTATTTTAATACTATTTAGCATTATCCACAATTAAATGAAAAATTAGCAGTTTTAAATATATGCTATAATTATAAAAAAATTCTTTGTAGTTACTGAAATTTTATTTTACTAGGAAAAAAATGCTAGAATGAAATGTTTTTCGTACCAGTTTTTGCTTTTTTCCATCTTCGGATAGGTTTTCGGCCCAGGGTACCTCAGAGGCAACATCGGAGTGCAAAGGGTTAAATTAAGTNACTATGTAAGAAAATTTGCTCGGAAATTCTTCGCTAAAAAGAGAAAAGTGATACTCTTTATGGATAAATGCCAAGCGCATAGTGATCTACCTAATTTGAAAGCAGTAAACTTGCAGTTTCTCCCGCAAAACACAACAGCAAAGTTGCAGCCGATGGACCAGGGTATCATAAAGTACTTCAAACAGTCTTATCGTAAATGGCTTGTCAGAAAAATAATCTTAAATATTGTAAGCATTTAGAAGATTTGTAATTAATAAGCATTAATTAAATAATCCGACAATATTTTGAAAGTCAAAAACCGAAACTAACGGTAAGTCGAACTTCCGATATGTCGAAGTTTTTCGTCAGTCCTATCAGATTCGAGTTATCGCGAATTGACTATAGGTCTATAATTTCTTTTAATTTATGAATATAATTGGTTTGCTTTATTTACTTGTCAACAACTACAAATTTAATTCTCAAATATGTATGATAAGTTTCTCTCGAGTACTTTTAAAATAGAATTTGGGTTCATGCGCACAAGTGGGTCGCTTTTTAAATAATCTGCGCAGACTACTTATAAGAAACCGTGTGGAGGCTCTCTGATGTAGGGGGTGAAGCTCCAGGGGTGAAACCATTTCAATTTAAGTTAGTTTTCCAAAGGAGAAATCAATTGTTCAATTTTAATACTATTTAGCATTATCCACAATTAAATGAAAAATTAGCAGTTTTAAATATATGCTATAATTATAAAAAAATTCTTTGTAGTTACTGAAATTTTATTTTACTAGGAAAAAAATGCTAGAATGAAATGTTTTTCGTACCAGTTTTTGCTTTTTTCCATCTTCGGATAGGTTTTCGGCCCAGGGTACCTCAGAGGCAACATCGGAGTGCAAAGGGTTAAATTAAGTGTTCATTTTCAGATAAATTTGATTCGTAAAAGGTATAAAATATTTCTAATAATTCTACTTTCCTTATTACTCTTTCAAAATCTATTAGTAAACATAAATAATTTTGCTTTTTAATCATTTAAACTAACTTAAACTCAGTGGCGCGACAGCCCTAGAGGGCCAAAGCCTACAGTACGCATCTCAGTTTTCTTGACCTTGGGCTCTGAGGTGCAGAAGCAGATGTACCAGTCAGGTGGCTAAAGTTGGCAGATTCTTTGCGAAAATACTAAGAATATTTACGGCGCCCATTATAATTCTTCATTCAGAACAAATTCATATCCAACAACACTCACAAATATATACAACAACAATTCTCAACTTGACGAAGCAAACAGCATTCTCAAAAATCTTTATCCTGACGATAATATTATTCCTACACGTCCTCTAATTTACAGTAATAACACACCGGATCCCCCATTCACACACAATGAGTTACTACGCCTAATTAAAACTCTTAACAGCAAAAAAGCACCCGGCATCGGTGGAATAGATTACATTGTAGTTAAAATTTTATTCTCATTTTTCAGTACTTTAATACTTAAATTTTTCAACAAATGTCTTGCTCTAAATTATTTTCCAGATCATTTTAAGAAAGGTCAGGTTTTACTTTTTCTAAAAAAGGGCAAAGATCCAAAATATTTAACATCTTATCGCCTATTACCCTTCTACCTTGCTTGGGTAAATTTCTGGAAAAACTTATTATTAAAAGACTTAATTTTCATTTGAAAATGCAAACGCCCTTTCAGATTTTCAATGCGGTTTTAGATTCGGCAAGTCAGTCCATTTAGCTTTGGATAATTTTAAAGATAACTTAACACACCTAAAAAATAATTACAAACACGTTGCAGCTATATCTTTAGATATTAAAAGTGCTTTTGACAACATTCAATATAGTATAATTAATCATGAGTTGTCAAAACATCATATTCCCTCTAATCTTTGCCTTTTCATAGAAAGTATAAACACAAATAGACAAGCAATTGTTTCAACAGATCAAGGTTACGTAACTAAAAACATTTCAAAAGGTTGTCCCCAGGGGTCATGTATTGGTCCTACAGCATGGAATCTTACTATCAATAGTTTGCTTAACATACATTCTGAAAATTATATGATCCAAGCTTTTGCAGACGATCTGATTATACTGACTTTTGCCAACTCAAGGAGAAATTTGGAAGAGATTACAAATAATTCCCTTAATGAAATTCACACATGGCTAATTCAAAATGCTCTAAATCTTTCTATAGAAAAAACAGTTTACATCCACTTTTATAACACAGATCGCAGTGCAATATTTAAAATCAATAATATTAAAATTAAACATTCTAATCATTTTAAATATCTAGGAGTAGTCATTGACAAAAAATTAAACTGGGGTTCTCACATTAATCTTTTAAAACAAAAATCTAAAACATTATTAAATTCGCTTCAAAAAATCAACCAAAAATCATGGGGTATCAACCAAAAAGCGAGAAAATTAATATACAATACAGTAATAATTCCCGCATTAGCTCATGGTTGCAGCCTATGGGCTACGAATATCTCTCCACGTATTTATCGCACTTTACAATCTATTCAAAGAAAATTTCTTTTAAACATGAGTAGAGCATATTATTCTACCCCAACGGCAGCACTTCAAGTACTAACAAATATTCCTCCTCTCGCAGAACAGATTATGTCAATATCTTGTTCAACAACCGTAACTCACCTCCAAAAAGATGCCAAATTTAATAATATAACGTATAATACACTAGACTATGAGAAAAAGCTAAAAATACCACATCGCCATCCTTCTTTTCACACAATTAACAAAATAACTTTAGTAGAACAGAATAATTTTGATTTTAACAGAAAAACAAACTATTTTACAGATGGCTCGAAGACAAATACAGGCACAGCTTTCGCTTTCCTCAATATTACACATTCACAAAGCTACACATTAGACAAGGAAAATTCAGTCTTTCAAGCCGAACAGTTGGCAATCTTTGAATGCATTAAATACATTAAGAGCACTGAAAACTTCAATAATAACGATACTTATGTAATCTGGTCAGACTCAAAATCATCAATATCATCAATACTTGATTTTGGCACAAATAATAGAATTTCTTTTGATATTCAACAAGAACTACAACACACATCAATTCAAATTTCCTGGATTAAAGCACACAGCAATAGAGTAGGTAATGAAAAAGCAGATGATTTAGCTAAACAATCTACGAGACAACCGAAAAATTATGTATACCCACTTCCAGTTTCATATCTTAAACGACGTATTAAAGATTCTCTTCTAACAAAATGGCAATTTCAATGGAATAATTCAGACAGAGGCAGACGTCTATTCAAAATTATTAACAATGTTACTTTTTTCAAAACAATTCCTCCAAAACAAGTCATCTGGTTCTTGACGGGTCATGGACCATTTCCAACCTTCTTTAATTACCTGCATATAACAGATACTGATCTTTGCACCTGCGGCCAACAAGGTTCGCCTGAACATTATCTCACTAGTTGTTCCTACACTGTCTCCTGGCATAGTCGTCAACCTAGCCCAACAAATTTAGAAATTTGGCAGAAAACTTTTATTACAAACAATACTTTAAATAAAAGATTAATAACAGTAATGAACTTCTTAGCGGATAATGACTATCTATTAAAATTTTAATAACTTCCCATTTCACATGTATAATATTTTTTTTGTCTAATTTCTTCTTAAATTCCACACTTTCAGTAAAATCTGTTCTTTTTTTTTAACTTCTAAAAATTTTTTTTAAGTATTATGTTATTTAGGCTGGAGTGGAGCTGGACCAGCGGCCAAGTCCTGGGCTATGTGGTTAAGGGATTTCATAACCTAGGTACATGCTCAGGGCTTGGAGGAAAGAAAAAAAAGTCAGGTAGTCAGCCGCGGAACCCCCAGTGTTTAGTTCCCAAGCATGCTTGATACTCATTTATCGACCCACTGGAGGGATGAAAGGCTGAGTCAACCCGGCCCGGCCCGAGGATCGAACCAGGGACCTGTGACAAGGCAGCGTGAAGCGCTACCGCTCAGCCACTGGGCATCAAGCTCTGCAATTATTTATTAAAATAGAATTTGGAATTCAATGATTGTTATGACAAATTTGGTGAGATCACAATAGTAATTTAATATTTGCGCTTATTTAATAGGCTACTATATTAAATGCAATTTGTGCATGCATCGCATTGTTCATGAAGCTAATTGTCAAGCCCTAAATCACTTAAATAATTTTTTAACGGTAAATTATAATACCATTTTAACCGTTTGGGTACATTTGACGAGAGAGACTCGTCATGCATTTATTACCAATAAATGAAAAGTGGTGACAAAAGTATTTTGCTGTCAGTCTATTTTAGAAGGAAAAAATGCATCAATAACTACCACATCTTGAAAAAGACAAACCATTTAGTGAATGTGTCTGGTTATATTTGGTAACTATTTAACAAACAAAACTTTTTTTATCAAAAACTTACTACCGGGTTTTTAATTACGTTGTTTCCTCTCAGTTCGGAATTTAAATAAATTCGGATCGAAAGGATTAATGTAATAACCTGGATCGAAAGGATTAATGTAATAAGATAATGTTAATAAGGCAATTAAAATGTTAATAAGGTAATTTTAGAATATTAATTCTATTAATATGGTAATGTCATAGAAAACTCTTAATTTAGAAAGCAATAAAAATCAAAAATGTAGGTATGTCAGAGTAGAATAAAAAGAAATATTTCAAATAATGTCTTTAAATTTAGGGCAGAAAAATATTTTACAGGAAAATAATTCTCATATGTCTTTTAGTAATTTTATGTTGATGTTGAATTATGTTGAACGATGACAACCAAACAAATATGTAATTTAATATAGAAAAACTAGATCCTACCATGTAATTTTTCGGCCAATAAAATTGTATATCCACTGCAATGAAAAACGGCGACCCATCATTAGATATGCTTATGCAATTTCTGTTTATGAAAAACTATTTCCATTTAAAACTTTTTACTGTAACATTTTCAATTCAAAACATAATAAGCTTCAAACTACAAATACCTTAACTATTATAAGAATTTGTAGCAAAGTATAAAGGAAACTAATATACTCCTTGTTAACATTTGAAAATATTTACATTGTGCTAAAGTGCTTTTTTCGTCAATTTTTTTTAAAATTTATTTTTTATCGAATGATACATAATAGAAGTTTTATTTTTGCCAAGAAAAGTAATAAGTTCCGTGTCTTATAAAAACCTTAGTATCAAAAAAAAATTTTTTTTTGTTGAAAAGTATAGAAATATTTTACAATAGTTTTCTTTTTCTCTATGCAGTATATCGAAATCCGGCTACATTAATAGACACATATTTCAGAAATATTTTTTTTCAGATTGAAATAAGCTAAACAAAAGCATTGAAAAAAATCTGCTTTCATGAAAAGATTAGTAAAATTTCAAATTATTGAATATAAATAAAAAGATAATTGAATTATACATAATAAAAAGATATTAATACATACATATTAATACATAATAAAAAGATAATTGAAGCCATATCGCTTAGTGCATTCTCATTGACAGGAAAAATAACATGCTATAGTTGTTAATAAAAAAAAAGAAAATCCAAATATATTTTATTGTAATCAGCATAAAAATAATAATAGTAATAAACATTATTTATTTGTCCCTTATGTAACGGTATGAATCTGAAACATTGATTAATCATCTCATCTTAATATAATCCTCTGCTATCATGACAGTTCTGATTTTTATGAATGTTTAAAATTAAAAGCTTAAAACTGAAAATACCGTTCCTTAATTAAATTACTAAGTATTTCAATGATATTACTTCTATGGAATCAGCATTTAATGATACACAATTTTAATTACCGTTATACAGTTATCAAATGGTTATTAAAGTTACAGTTAATAAAGTTATATTCACATTCATAAGAAACACTTTGCAGAAAATCATCACCAGCCATTATCAACAGTTAAAGTCGGCATATGTATAAGTAGTAATAAGTAAATAAAATATATAGTAATGCATAGTAATAAGTAAATAAATAAAATAGAGCATTTTTCGGAATTAACTTTTCGCACGACTGTTAAATCATATCTTTCGCGTAAAGATTTAAAGTGCCAAACAAGACCGCCGGCAGAATAATATGAAAGGGGGTGCAACCCTCCAACAAACTAACCCCCCCCCCAAAAAAAATTTTTTTTATTCTGTTATTACATTTTGTTTTGTTATTACATATACTTTCATCTGTTAATTTTCTCAAGATACATTTCTTCATTGTTAACAAGATATTTAAGAAAAAGTACGAATTTCTTCTATTAGCAAATTTTGCCACATAGAAATTGTATTGATGGCGCTGGCATAACTACTGACTTTGAAACACAAATAACTACAAAAGTAGTTTCGTATACTAACATGTTTGTGCACGCTTAACACTGGTATTTATTGTGTTGATGAAGTTTTACAGTTGTAAGAAGTCAGTTTGTGTTATACACCTTTGCTAAACTAAATAACTAATGGAAAATATAATGTTATTTTTATTTTATTAAACGAAATACAATACGACGCATCAAAACATGGAATCGGTCTATAATGTCTCACGAGAGATTAAGTAGTTTGTGCATGCTCAGTGTGCATAAGAAAAGAATCAAAGATGACTCAGAATTCATTGAAAAAGTTATAAACAGATTTGGACAGCAAACAAGACGATAACAATTCTCGTATGATTAAACAATTTTTTAATTGTTATGTAGCAATAATTAATTATTATTTGCTTTTGAATAAAAATAATTAAATAAATAAATTTTATAACAAAATGTTTTTTTCAGTATCTCTTTAACTGTTTTATTTTTAGAAAAAAAGCCGGGGGGTGCAAGTGCACCCACTTGCACTCCCCTGCCGGCGCCCTTGGTGCCGAAAAATGATCCTAAATTTTAAAAATAAGTTTAATGTTGAATAAGTTGATTTTAAAAATAAGTTTAATGTTTAAAAATAAGTTTATGATTGAATTTGCAATGATAACAGCTTGAAATAAAAGGCTATAAATTTTATCATAACGGAATCTAAGTTATCACTATAAAATATTTGGGATTTTTCATTTTGATAACTTTCAATTTTGATGTTATCATTTGTTTATCGTCTATAATCGTCGAGGTTAGACGAAGAAAATTTCACTGTTAAAATAAAGAATGCCTGGATTAATATACAATTGGGTCAGAGCATATTTTAACAAACTTCTGTTAACAAACTAAAGTAAACAAAAAATTATCAATGACAGTAATGGAATTATTTTTTTCCAATGCCCACAGAACGATACTTGTGATTCAGTTATCAGTAGGACAGATTTGTGGGACACTCTTTCCATATTAGGTAGTTCAACAGTAAGGATCGATAGTACAGAGAATGAAAGAATATTCGCTCTTTGCCCTGGATTCAAACCCAGGACCTTTCTGATCTAAGATCAGCTCCCTGACTGCAACACAGTCCGGTTGGTCGTTATGGACATTAAAATGGTATTAAACCACGTGTTAAATCTGACACTATAAACGCATTTGAGAAATATCAAAATTTCTCTATGACTTCCAGGTTCTGCAAAGGAGTATCAAACTTCTGGAAACTTCGTATAAAATATGTTGACACCGATGGAAAAAACTGGATGGGAAAAAACTGGACTTTGAACTATGCAAGGTATTAAGGTTTGAAAACTGGGATTTTAAACGAGACTGAGAGGAAAGGAGTGAATAAAGCAATCAGAAAAGAACTGTGCCGTCGCAATGCAAGCAATGAGCTGTAACTCACAGTCTCTCAAAAAAAATTAACGAAACACTTTATCAAAACTGAAAACTGTTACGTAAATTGAAGAAGATTCCAGAGCTGCATTGACAGTCTGTAACCAAATCCAGTGTACTGTAGCCAGTCTGGTAACACTACTTGTGTGAAGCAGATCCAGGATACCGGCTGCTTATGCAAGAACAAAAACCCAGGACGAAAAGAAACAAAACCCGAAGTGGTTGAACGAATTCGTGATTCGTTTTTACGGAGACCCTCAAAATCAACGCGACGTGCAGGTGAAGAGGGCACTTAGTTCAAATTACAAAAACTTCTGTTTATTCAGCAGATCTCATGATGGTTCCCTTTATATGGCATCTAATCGTTCATATGGAACGCACATTTTCTGGTGACTGTTACCATGGAAACTCGCCAACAATTGGCGACAAGACACACGTGTTGCGCCTCTTACTTTGCCAAAGTTCAAAATTAAGCAAAATTTGATTTACCTTTACATTTATTTGATAAACTTTAAACTTAAATATTTTACATCTTACATATTAAAAGGGGTGAAGTACTAAGAATTTTACTGAAAGGTGAGAGCCTAAAAGTTTCAAAAAATGAGAACGTTGCTTCTCTCATACCGCGGCTTCCTCAACTGACGCCAAGAAGGCACTCGGAAAGGAGCAAAACAATACTCGGTTAAAGTCAAGTTGGGAAAAATCGATATAAAAAAATCAATTGATCAAGTTAAATTTAGTGGAAGGCTATTGTGGTTAAATGAACAAAAACTGAAAAAACTATTGAGGATTAGAATAACAACGCACGTGTGATGTAGCAACATCACACAGATGGCCCAGGCTTTAAAACCTACTGACACACCGTTGCGTAAGAATTTTCTGTGTGAAATTTTAAGAAAAGCTCGACGGTGAATGGTTTCG